TCTAAGATATATCAAAGATCTTTGAATTCTTCAAGAATATCTAATTCTCCGAAGAGAGTATTGTAGCATTGTAAAAATGAACAATTTATATTTAAACAGGTAGGATTGAGAGATGATAAAAGCTTCTAACTTCTCTTACCTATTCAAGTAATAAAAGATACTATTAGATTCTTCAGCTCTAGAAATGTGACAAAGTTAATAAAAATTTGTCGAATTTCGAGTAATTCTAAGATTTATTAGAATTTACAATTCTTCCGAGGAATTCCAGTTGCAGAAACCTTCCTAATGAAGCAGCGGTCGCGCAATCGTCGAGTAATTGCGAGCCGGAAGCCAGGCGCGCAGTAAATGGCGGAAGCGTCGACGTCGCGAAAACTACTCAACCAGTCTTCTCAACCTCTTCATTCCTCAATCGCAAAAAAAAAAAACAAACTTTAAACTCCTTCCATCGTAAATCTCCCCTGAATTAAACTAAACTCGAAAGGTCTTTCAACATTTCACATGATTCCTCGAGTTTCACGTGACATTTCGCGATTCCTTTCGTTCCTCTCCGTTCCCCTTATCCCACCTAAACGATCTCTACAAAAAGAAGGAAGAAAAACAGAAGGAAAAAAGCCAGTAGCGGTAACTTGACATCATAAAGAGAGGTAAAAAGGGTTAGCAAAAAGAGGTGTGCGTTTCCAGGGATCAAGATTAGCAGGCAGTGTCTAAACCGCGGTTCCAGCGAAACGATTTCACGTGGCTCAATGCGACGCGATAGGCGGACGTGCTTAAATCGTGATAATGAGCCGTGCACGTATGTCACAAGTGTATAAAGTTAACAGCGCTTAATAATGCACAGGCCACGGCCACGGTGATCCCTTGCTATCGATAAACGTCCACGTTCAGTTAATGTCGTCTACCATCGCCGTTACAACTACTACCACTACTACCATCGCTGACACTACTTTTCGAGACGAACAGAGAGAAAGAGAGAGAGAGAGGAAGAATGTGGTTGAGTATCGATAACGTAACAACTGCGCATTCCCACGAATGCACGTACAGGCTCTGTTCTAAAATAAAAATATATTATCACACTCGAGCGTCACGTAGTATCCTGTACGTCCAATATCCAGAGAGCTCTGTCCTCTCCGCGGTTGCACGGAAATTGCGCGCACGGAATCCGCAGCCATAACGAGACACACCGTTGCTGTTTATTACCCGCCATCCTGTTGAAATACGGCCTCGCGTAACGGGAAATCTGCCTAACGATCGAAACCTCCCGATGCCGTCGTGGGTTCCGTTACGATCATCATCTTGTCTCCTCGTTATTTTTTTTCTTTTCTTTAGCGATATATGTTACCTTCCAGATTTTCCTTCGTGATTCTCTCAGTTACTAGGTGGAGGTTCCGAGGATTGATAAAGACACGGTGTTAAAAGAGGAGAATTTTTCATCTTTGAGGGAATGTTTGTGTGTCGCGGTTCTCTGCGCGGGACAAGTGGTTACGTAAAGAGTTAATTCAATTCGTTGATTAGTCGCCTCGAGAAATAAACGGTGGAAAACGAATTTAGTCACGATACGGTTGTTCGGTAAATTTGTGGAATTCCACTCACAAGTTTTGAAGTATATTTCTTTTTTTTTTTGGAGCAAAATGCGAACGAAATTGTTCTATTTTGTTGAAGAAGAAGGTTTGCAAAAACGAGTACGAAATCTGTGAAATGTTCAAGGAACGTGGTCCACAGTAGCGCGTCCGCCATTATGGACCAAGGGTCATTTCAGAATTCCAAATCAACTCAATCTGCTGGATAAATTCCAGTGATACACGGACAAGAGAATGAAGATGTTTCGAGGGATGATTCGACGATGAAAGCTAATGTGGAAAAGTGCGACACCTGATCGTGGAAATCCACGAAGGGACGGGTGCAGTTTCGTCGTTCGCGACGAATGGTGGTTCCCGTCGGACATTGGACTGGTCTGGTGCGGAGGAGAGCGGAAAAAAGAAGGAAAACAGAGAAAAAAGGAGGCGGTCAGAAACGAGGGGGAAAAAAAATCGAGAAAACGGAGGAATGCACGCGACCAAGATGGCGCCGTATTGTGTGTACTCGATAGACAGGGACGGCTGACACGAAACAGGAATGGAAGCCGCGGGAGAATGGGGATAATTGCGTTGGAAATGCAGCAAGGCTCCTCCCCTTATTCAAACCTAAAGGCTGCAACTGCAAGTGCCAAGCTGCTCACTTTACGGCGCGCACACATGACACGTTCGACCACTGACGACGCGAATACCCTGATACACCGACACACGAGTGCTCCGCCTTGCATCGACACGTGTGTGCAGACGATCGAGGGACCGCGAGCAAATCTGGCCGACCGACCCCTTCGTCTGTTTACGCGTCGATCGATCCTGTCTTTGCATCGAATCGATCATTCCTTTTAAGTGTCTCGAATTCCTTCGATTATGCTGGTTCAAAAATGTATCGCATCAAATGAAACATGACAATTTCAAACGCCGTATTTACTGTAAAATAAATTAAGTCTATGTACTCTGCGCGTACACGAGAAGAGTACAAGCTTGTCGACACAGGGGCAAGAGGGGTACTTCGCTCGCGCAATGCTCGCATGCTACATGATCCGATTCGTTGATGTGGCCAATAATGACAATACGTGTGCCTTATTACTATGATGTGTTAGAGAAGGTGGGCTTATGGAAGAATGACCCAATCAGACCTGCATTCCTTCGCCTTGCCATCTTCTCCTGGACGCACAGTATTTATATAGTTTAGAAGAATATGACAAGTTGATTGCTCGAAATAATCTTTTTCTTTATTTCCTAAATAGTAATAATATGATTTCAATGAAAGAATATTGCTACATATGAAAGGTCAATATAACGCCATTTTGTAAGGTATTTAAACTAACGTCATTTTGCCCCTTTTCCTCAATTAATTCGAAAGCATTTGTTGCTCATGCTAGTGAACAAATAAAAAATGACGTGAAACATTAAAAATCACTACGCTTTCTATTTTAATAAATTTAATCTCCCCCGATAACAGACCTAACGTACCGGCAGGCAATTCGTATTCGCTGGTTTAATTAGGCACGCCACGAGCATTACCATATTCGAACGCTTTCCTCCGGTTGATCGATTAATTCTTTAGATACAATCAGTAATTTATTCTACTTAGCCAGATAGTTTTTTACTGACTCATGAATTTAATTAATAGTAACTGTAAGCACAAGTATTATCAGTTGCGATCTTTATTCCCTTGTGGGATACTCCCAGAGTCGCTATTCAGATAGCCACGCGACATCTACGAGATGACGTATTTATCAACCGAGTGATTTGCCAGTCATCGAAAATGTTCTGTAACATTTTTACTAATTGCACAAACGAGGTACAGAATAGATCTACCATCCAATGAATTTTTTGTCTCACGTCACGAGGGCTCTAGAGCCCCCTTACCACGTTTGCGTTGCTTCCAACGTTACCGATTCAGCATAGAATAAGATTACAACATTCGTAGTGGTTGGAATTGGAACTAAATGTAAATATGAAATTGCGAATAGGGTATGAGACCTTTTCGATTATTTCACGTTCCTAACAATATCCGGAATTGATTTATTTAATTTTGTAATGGAATATTATTCAAAGAATGAATGTCCTGCAAAAAGAAAAGTATGAGATATGTAAGAGAAAAATGAATAGACTGCAAAATGCTGTAAAATAATGCTGGTGTACTGTAACCTTTTGTAAAATATATTTTGTACAATTATCTTACAATAAACGATTGATTTTTTCATAAATAATTGCATTTCTTCATTTTTCCGGATGTTCAAGTCCTTTCCTTGAGTCCTATGATGGCCTGAATGTTCCATCTGCAATTTACACAAAAAAACATAAATTTTTAAATTTTCAATAAAAGTTATAAACAATTTCTAACTAATCTACTGCATACAATTGTTAATTCAATACGAAATTAATAAATTAGGCTATTTTATTAAGTTAAATCATGCAACAAATTTATTTAAATTTCTCATAATTATAAACTACCATCTAAATTGTTATTTAACAAGAAGCACTAATTATTCTTCAATTAAAGTACTTGAAAATGAACCAGAAACTTTATTTTACTATCTACATTATTAGTAATAATTTATTATTAATGTTTAAACAATTAAAAATTTCTTGTAAGTATCAATTTTAAATTGCTTACTACATACAATTATGTTCTAATTTAAAAGAACTATTATTAAAAGGAAAAAATTCAAAGAATTCTCATTATACTGTAATCAAAAATATGGGAACGTAATTTTTCATCAGTGGATGATTCTTGACTGCTGTTGAAAGATTGTCAAAGTTCTACCCACGCAATCCAATACATACATGTAAATATCTTTATATGCGGACATAACAAAAGAGGATCTTTTGCATCTGTTGATTTTACCATCTTTGATGACTGGATTGACCACGACACCTCGTCTGTGATGATAGATCTATTCTGTACATCGCCTGTGCTAATAGTTAGTCTTCTAATTAATCAATTGACATCGTCACATGATGTATTTACAATTACTGATCTAGGAAAAAGTGTTTAGGAATTTATGCAGTTTTCATAACTACACCACACGTTTTATTTCTCTTCTTTTTGCTCGATTGTTTTCACTAGAAACCTGTTTTGTCACTAGATATGTAGTTTATGAGAATGAAATTTGATATGAAGTATATACTATTCTTTTTAATCAATCAGTTTTTTTACTACAATAAAGATATTGACAAGACCAATTGTACTTGAAACGATAATCATATATTTTATAGAACAGGCAGAATTTTTACTGTAGCCTTTTGAAGATGTTAATGCCATCTGTTAACTGCAACGTGCAACACCTGTACTTCAGAAAGTGCATTTATTATTAACCGTATCTGAATTCTATGGAATGACTATAGCCGGCACTAGTATAGTTGATTCAGGGTACTACAAAGTACCATGCTCGTTTATACTTAATGCGGCTTAATATACGGTGCATATCAATTTAAAGTGTTCTGCATTTTTTTTCGTATTTACCACGGCGTAAAATCAGAGATAACACGTACGTGCAGCTTTAAGATTCTCTGTTTAATGACCGTTCTGTTTAGGTGAATTGATAATTGCATTTTCCGATTTGATATTTAAATATACTAAACTATCGGAATGATTAAAAAGTCCTCATATTTAGCGTATTTACGTTAATTTGATATTCTATACAAAAATGTTAGTTTACCAGATGTATCACAGTGTAAAACGTTCTTGTCAAAGCGACGTTTAGTGTCATAATTTAAAATTCGTCATTGCGGATAGCGCAATCTTAAGTATCATCGAAAAACAAATCTTTGAAACATTAATTCCTACTTCCATATCATTTCAGTTGTGCAAAAAGAATTCACAGCAATGTTTGAATGGGCATATGATGGTGTCAATGCTTCAATACCACGTAATGTAGGGCCAGAATGTGCATATTATCTAAGTCCAAAACGAAGGATCATTGAAACATCATTTGTATCCATAATCATAATATTCCTTTTGGTCTGGGGCTACAAACAAATTAGTTTACCAACCAAAGTCTCATATGCAAACCATGATCGTGTTGGCAGAAGAGTCTTACTTATCATTATGTCATTAGTATTGGGAATAGAGATTGGTTTTAAGTTTACCAGCAGGACAGTTGTATATATATTAAATCCTTGTCATATTATAACAGCAGTGCAGGTAAAATGCATGATACCATGTTATTTAAGCAATAAATATGTATACCTTATGTTTATAGATAATCATTCATTTTTATGTAATACAGTTGTATTTACTGGCAGCAGATCCTAGTCCAACAGTCACTGCTCTCTTCAGGATACATTTAAATTTTTTGAATGGACCAGTTTTAGCATATGTATTTCCAGAGACAGAATCTCGCAGAGTAAATTATCATCTTTCATTAGTAAATTTACAATAATTCAAATTGATGAGGTTTCAAATTGATATTGGTATCATTTTTCCAGATATTTGCAGACAAAGCAATGTACTACCTTCAGCATGGTTTAATGGTAGTAATACCATATTATTTATTGAGGATTGGAGGTAGTCACTATTAATTTTTTATTATTTTATTCCATAAGGCATTTTAAAACAGTGTTATAATTTTTATGTTTAGGTGTTTATAATGTTGAACCTCTGTCAGACATGAGCTGGTCTATTTTTAGCTATGGGCTGAATTTAGCTTATCACTTCTGGGTTATTCAAGCCATTGCTTTGGTGTGCATTCTTTTATACATCTTATTCTTCCTTTTATTATGTTTTTTATTTGACCTTAATGTGTTAATATTTTATTTTTTAGCCTATACAGGTAAACCTTAGTCACATGTTATGTGCAGCCATTTTAGACCCGTTCGAAGGTCAAAATTACCGATTATGGGTGCTGGTTCATCAAGCATTACTATGTCCATTATTATGCAAGCTGTTCTGCTATGGATCAGATTTCTTCTTAACAAAATTTCCACCGACCAAAGTAAAACCGTCGCTCGAATGCGTACTTCCAAAGAAAAACAAGTATGAAGATGAGGAGAAACTATGTGAAAATACGAATACCTCAGGGAATGGACACACGCATGTGAATTAGGTCAATATTCGTAACCCAGATCAACATAATTTCTGTGAACACATATTGCTGGAGTTCAGTGAGTATTTGATGATTAAGAATAATATAAATGAGTTTGTATGTCAATAACCAAATGAACACAAGTCGTTTTGTGTTTAATGTGCATTCATAACTGTACAGTTGCTGCCTGTATCAATTACAGTAGTTATTTTTCATGCTGTATTTCCCAGATACAGTGGATAGGAACAGTACAGGGCAAATTATAGTAGTAACTAGGGATTTATAAATTCCAAACGAATACGTACATGAGTATTTTACTAATTTTAAGTAGGTAGGTTTTTCCACTTAGGGTTTTCTGATTACAAGAGTCCGGTGATTTCGCATTTCTAATGCGTTTATGAATAGGAATGTTAATATGTCAGTTTTCTATTTAAAGTCGCACTTCTTAAAAATCCGGCACTAGACGAAAAACAATATGCTTTCAGTTTTTCTTTTTATCTCGAGGAGATTTCCGTTTCCGTTCTCGCGTAAATCTCTATTGAATTGCTCACATCGAAAAATTTTCAAACGTACTACTCCTATAAATAATTGTTTAACGAAGCTTAGTACGTATGCAGTTTTTCCTGGTTACTCAAGGTAATATTTTGTAGAATGGCCTCAATAAGTGCACAGGAAGGAGAAAAACTGATAATCTAAGAATCCTCAAATTTTAAGTTTTACAAATATTGGAGTCTATGTATTTTTGCACCATAGAAATGCGTTCTACAAAATTCACTAGGTCAAATTTAAATGACCTATATCTTTGTTCCTGTAAATTACAATCTTATTTCGCAATTGCTTGCAAACACTGGTCCTAATATGTTATGATTAATGGCGGCATTCAAAACAAAAAGTATATCTAGTCACGCGAGGAATTTTGTGATTTATTTTAAGTTTAAAATTTAATTTCGACCTATATATACTTATCATTGTATTTTTAAGTACCTACGCGTTATCTTTAGAGTACGATCTTTTTCCAAATCTTTTTTTTTCAGTCATTGAGAGAAGTAGCTTGGTTGTGATATGTAACGAATAGACAGCGGATTTTTATGCAAATTTATATTTTCGAGAATATAGTAAAAAAAGAAGAAGTTCGGCAGAAAATTATTTCACCTACCAGGTATTATAAAAAGCACTATAATTTGGATATTTTGTATTTTTTTTCCATATTACGTGCATTCTGTGCAATTTTGAATCTTTAAATGTCTTATAAATGCATAAAAATCCGCAGTCTAGTAATAAACAATTGCATTATGTGATACAGAAAGAAGTACGAATATATTAATAAAAAGGAATTAAATTATTAGCTTAAGTAACCATTTTTAACAAAAGTGAAATTGTGTTGATAGTGTGCACATGATTAAAATAGATAGGTTATGTAATACATTCCATGTAGGCAACCTGTTAAGATGGTATTGTAATAATTTTACACGGACTGCCACAAATTTTATTTGTTACAATACATTCTCACGTGTTAAATTGGTTTAACAATTTGAAAATATTTGGAAAGGAATCTATACAAAGGGTTTTATGGTACAATATAAAATCTAAAAGAACATGAACAAATTGTTGTTTTATAATTCCCATATAAAAATTGTAATTCTTTTTACTTACATTTTTTATTACTGTGATACTTTTTTCTTAAGTTATATGTGTAAGAGTACTTAAGAAATTTAAGCCTTAATTATTTTTCAATAAAAACTTGTTCACTTGTATATACATATATTTTGACTTCACTTAATTCACAGAACAAATTCTGATAAGTGTTTGTACTATTGTGGCCTAACAATAAAGAACATTTCTCGATTGTTATAGATATAATTTGTTCGTGTTAAAAAAATATACGTACTTGTTTCTTTTAAAACAGAAGGAACTGTGGTTGTAAAGAAAAGTTTAGTGGTTAGGGTTAAAGAATAGATGACTCCAATGTCTTTGCAGTATTGTTAATTAAAAGCCTTAATTGTGCGCTCTTTTTACACAATTAATTTTTGTGTCTTTTTGTATGAAAAATAAAAAAAATATATTGACATAATGAAGAACTAATTGTGTACTCGTAGACGGGAATGATCAATTGAAGTTTGAAATTAATGTGATCAATGTAATTCTATACGAAAAGGTTTAGAAAATACCTTAAGAATAGTTTTGCTTCATTCATTATTTCATTTGCAATTACGAAGGCCTTGGAAATATTAAATTTTGAATTTCGACTAGAGCGATGATAAAAAAGAACTTTTCTACTATAACACAAAACCATTGCAACACTAAATTTTCAATATACGCGTATCCAATTCAGTACATACTTACATACAAGTTGCACAGCAGTAAAAAAAAAACAATTACGTATTGGTCATTCGTTTAAATGTACAACAGATTGTTGTTATATTTTTGTAAGCTACGGGAAGCGTTGTAATTATGACGAAAGTAGCTGTGTGCAAAGTTGGTACTAAACGTAAGGTTAATTCGCAAAGAGCGGTGGGTATACTATATAAATCGTGTTGAATTATAAAGGATTACGAAACAATGCAGGAAAGATTTGTACGAAATATTCATGTGTAAATGTTTCAAATAAAAGAAATCTCAACACGAAGTGGTTCTGTCATTTTCCTACACGTAGAACACGATTTATGACACGCAACGATATACAAACATTAAAGCATTAAAATAAAATAATTTATTTACAAAGAGATGTACATTCTTTTAATTTAAAACTCTCATACTCCTGATATACGTGCAAGTATACCGGTGTTCCAAGCTTAATCGTATCACGACTAATTCACTTTTCCTCTAAACTTTTGTACAGAATGGTCTCGCAGATGATTATATGATGCATGTGTTAACACGTGTATTTACAAAACGATGCACTTCTTTTTTCTTCTTCATTTTTACTTTTTTTCTAATCGTCGAATCATTTTAACGGGTATGACGAAGATTAACATCATAAATACTTAACGCTATCGTGTATCATCGTAGCCACATAGAGGTTACAACGAAAGAATTCGTAATAAGGCACCACTATACTCCACGTATATAATATTGGTAGTTCGTATTCGAAGTAACTTGCGTACACATTTCGATCGTTCGATCGAGAAAAGGTATTTAATACTAAATCAGTCCGTGACCCGTAATGTTTGCTGTTTTATGCGAATAAAACCATTGGACAGATACGAAACAAGGTTTATTTTCCCTCGCACATCCATGATCACTATTATTATGTACACGATTCTGTACAAAAGCTTAGAAAAAACTAATTTTTCTCACCAAAGCTACACACAGTGTTGGATAACCAACCGCTTACCGACAATAAGTCACAGAGTCACCCTATACATAAATAATAATGTAATGAGAGAGATAGTAACTCTGTAAAAATAAATTATTCCATCAACTTGCTAACGGTCCCTTCAATGTCTTTTTCAGCAATTTGTCACCAGAACCAAGTTCACCTTCTCCCCAAAATTCCATCCTTATAAATATTCCTACAAAATCCCTTACCAAGTTAGGTGAGTGCTGTCAGTCAGTCAGTCAGAGAGAAAGAGCCAAGTCAGTTAGTCCAACACACATCGCAGCGAATACCAACGTTCTCTTCACGAAGTTCGCGTCTTATACGAAAATCCGCGTGTACAAAGTATCACCGTTGCAAATAAATATTATATTGTAAGAAAATAATTGGCGTCTACTTTCGCACTCGGATTCTAACAAAATTTGGTGTTAGACGCAAAAGCTTTTTCCGACTAAAGGAAGGTTAATAGTACTACGCTCAAGATCCATTTAAATTTGCCTTGGACACTACCACTACTATATCATCAGCCAATAGTTTTAAGTCATGGAGAAGGGGAGCGAGCAATATTTCCCGTGAGCTATAGCTACAGCATGCTTATGAAGTCCTATAATAAGATGATGCACATAATATTGTATCTTGGCTCCATCTATTCTGGATATATACAGTAAATCCTCCACAAGTGTCAGTCCGCAAGGAACCTAAACCTGACACTTGTAGAGTCAGGGACTACGTTTTCGAGCCTCCCGCCCGCCTTTGTAGTTTGCCGAACGTAGACAAGGACAGCGAATAAAAGATAAGGATAAAACGTGAGTCGAGGCAACCAAGCGATTTAAATACCAACTTTTTTAATTTTACGTTTTTTTATCCCGAAATTTTTCTTAACATATTGATGAGATTTTTCTATGAAAATGACATAAAACACGACATAATTTGAACAACATTTACTTATAATACTTATTGAGTGATTAATTTAATTTCATAATACAGTAATGTCTCTACAAGTGTCAGCCAGTTTGGATTCTACAAGTGTCAGTATAGATGGTCCTACGCCTAGGTCTGCGTCATTGCTGCGCCTATGTTATCTCGCTCACTGTTAGTCAAGCGTGTAACGATACACCACTCGGTTTCTTTTACGAGATTTCACGGCTCGACAATTCATAATAGAAAAATATAAGAAACCGAGTGGTGGAGCGAGATAACATAGACGCAGCAATGACGCAGAACTAGACGTAGGACCATCTATACTGACACTTGCAGAATCCAAACTGACTGACACTTGTAGAATCCAAACTGACTGACACTTGTAGAGAATTTACTGTACTCCGATCTTTGCGCCAGTATATAAGGAATACACCCTTTCTCCTGACCCATATATCAGTGTGGTCAAGGAATTTGCAGTGCCTATCAGTCAAAATTACCAGTGGAGAGAAGGAGAAACTTTTACACTGATAGATATTAAAGTCAGTCTTCGTTTCCGATCTTTGCGCCAGTATATAAGGAATACACCCTTTTTCCTGACCCATATATCAGTGTGGTCAAGGAATTTGCAGTGCCTATCAGTGAAAATTACCAGTGGAGAGAAGGAGAAACTTTTACACTGATAGATATTAAAGTCAGTCTTCGTTTATTACTGTTGAGTCTGAACAAGACTCTTGATGTGGAACAACAACTTGAGAACTATGTTGATAAAAGGAGACGGGCAGTCCTAGTTGTTGTATGCGAATGAATTTCTTAGAACGACATTAACCGTCTTAAATATGCGCCCATTATTAAAAAAAAAAACCCTATTCCTATTTATTTACAAGAATAAATATGAGTTTCTCGAGTTCCAGCCACAACACTACTGGCAAATTCAGCAATGTCAACTATAGATGCAATGTTTTCCTCTATCAACGCGTCTCCACGATACTTAGTTCATAGAAATGCGATAATTATTGAAGAAGTTTCAGCATTTGTAGCTGATACGACAAGAAGAAAACGTATTCGCTACGACGTGTGTTGGACTAACTGACTTGGCTCTTTCTCTCTCTTTGACCAACTGACTACTAACTGATTGCACTCAACTAACTTGGTAAAGGATTTTGTAGATATATTTATAAGGATAGGATTTTGAGGAGAAGGTGAACTTGGTTCTGGTGGCAAATTGCTAGAAAGGACTTTGAAGGGACAGTCAACGAATTGATGGGTAACTTGTTTTTGCAAGGTTACTATCTCTATCATTGCATTACTATTTGAAGGGTGACCCCGTAACTCCGTGACTCACTGTCGGTAAACGGTTGGTTATCCAGCAATAGTAACAAACACAACGATAATAATAAATATGTACAATTAAAAATCATCCTCACCTCGCGATCGATATTTAAATATTATTTAACTACCTATACAGTACATTTCACAGAGTACGATGTACAATTTTCACGAGTAAATCGATACAGGACTTTGTTTTTCCTTACCACTAAATGCACAAGCGAGTCGAGAATGATTACATTAATTAAGTACGACGTGTGCATCCCATCACGACAGTGATCGTCAAACTTTACACCATTCAATACTTGATTCCAAATACGGACTAAACGAAACTTTCTACACAAAGTTATATCACACACAATACCGTAACGCATCGGACGAAAATTATTGAGAAAAAAAAAAGAATCATTTCGATATTGATATATTGTGTAGATGAGTTTGACAGGTACCAGTTTCATTCCTAGCGTTGCACTACTTAAAAAAGAAAAAAATACTAATTATCGTACAAATCGATAGGATCATTATCACGCGATATTTTACAATTTGCGAACGTTGCTTTGTACATACACACGAAAATAAAGTAGCTATGAACACTTTAAGTGGAACACCCTGTATACTGTAATTACGAAGTTATACCCTCGGATTCGTTCGACGATTTCGCTGCTTGAGCTTTTCCGGTAATAAAAAAAGTTGACTCCTACCATTAGAAAATAGACATTAATTAAAAAATCTCATATAAATACCTACAATAAATTAAAAAATAAAGTGTAATCGACTTTTTGTAAGAAAGACGTCGTTCAACCCTCTTCCTCGTGATCCGACCCTCTAAAATTTACGTATTAACAGCCACAACAAAATAAAAACAAGTAAGACATCTACACAGACATCGTTGAAAAAATGAGCACGCTAATAAAATATAGATAAATCACAATTGTTCCTTTCACAGTTATAAGATAATAATAAAAAGTAACGAGTTTAATGGTAAATGGTGGACTCTTTAAATGGTGATCAAAATAAGTCATATAACACAGTATATGACTATCTTTATATACAAGGTAGACTTTGCCATTTCTTTGGCATGTGTGAGTAGATTTATACATATAAAGCATGTATTTTATACAAGGATTCGAATATTAATATTGTATGGAAGAGTAAAGAATTAGATAATACTTATTTCTCTGTACATAAATATTAACTAAAAAATTATGATCTACGCGTGACTTGAAAAGACTTCAAAATAAGAATAATTCGAGACGTGTCCGTTTAAACGACATACATAATTACTACACGAAGAAGTGTCTTCTTCTTCTCAAAAATCGTCTAACTTTTTTTACATGATTATCTCCGAAAACAGAAATATGTCACTCAACTTCTTCGTACAAAGATACTTTCAATCATGAGATTCAAACGAAACATTTCATTATCAAATATACAGATCGTTTCAGAATCGACTCTAGCGGGTGTATGATGTCGTTTTATGAAATTTGCTGATGACTGTGATCATTGAGTAACTTATAACTGTTAGCACTGTATAAAGCCCTAATACGGATTTATCAATTTAAATGGAATGCTAGTACTATTTACAATGTTATTGACTGAACGAACAGGCACACATCCTTCTTAAATATTATCATACAGTTCATTAGTGTGCATGTTCTACTTCATAGTAGACAATTTTGGTATGATGCATGAGAAAATTTTGCATCGGTATTTCATTATACAGCCTTGAACAAGCCTCTGGAGATATGTCTCTACTAGAAGTAAAGTGTTAGCCATCTAGAGGTGGTCCTAAGTACACCATAGATACCTCTGTATTTCCATATACAGCAGATACAGATGGGTACAATCTTTTATCTGGCAACCCTATGTATTTAATTCTCTCATTAATGCCAAAGAAATACTTCCATTAAAAATCTACTTTTAGCTAGCAAAACACTGAGATACAATACCTCTAAATGCCACTCCCAAAAATTCATCATTTCTTTCAAAAGATAATGTGTTATCATCACAATCTAATATTACCCTAATTCTTTCCCCAACCTGTTAATTATAAAATTTTGTACCTTAGGGTATGTTTTTCTGCCAAATTCTGTGGTTTACTATAAAAAGTACAACATACCTGATATTTTGGAGCATTATTAAGTAAAGGATAATTCCCTTGCACATTTCCATTGTGTAATAAATGATTATCCACAAGGTTCCAGCCCCATGAATGTTTATTAGAGCCCACTAATGCTACATATCCATGGTCTAAGAGAGGTGCTTCCCTTGTAGCTATGCCTATTACTGCTACTGTACCCAAAGGTCCTTCCCAAATAACTTCCCAGGCATGCCGACCGTGCCGAAAGCCAATTTTACCTCTACAGGCATCTGTGGTTTGAGCAACTGGATGCCTATAACTCAAGTAGTAAGGATTCAAGAACTCATTTCACACTTATAACATAAAAGCACACTCAACATCGCCGGTTTCAATATTTTCAAAATTCAATGATATTATTAAGAAATATTATTATGGTCTTTTTATATTATTCATAGTTGTTAGCAGTGAAACATCTAAAATTATTTGAATCCATCGGTCAGCGAACAGAGAAAATTTGACATCGCGTGAATCGGGATTGGAAAGAGAGCGCAAACCACGAAGTAACACGCGTTAATGACAGAATCCAAGGTTCTACCTGTGCATGGTAAATCCATTGGGTTTAATGTAAATATTACGGGAACAGTCATTGGGATTCCACGCGTAATAAAACGCACGGAGCTTCGATTTGTATGTAGGCACCGATGACAATAAATCGGAACTAAGCGCCTCTTGTGCTAGTTTTTTGATGCAGTGCATCCTCCACGCGTCACTGTTCTCATCGTTTAGAAAGCAGTTCCATCGCTTGCACACTAGCGAGCAATTTCTCAGTGTGTGCAGATCTAAATAAGAAAAAATCACTTCTAAAACATGATCAGACACCCGGATTGCTATATCGTCCATTTTGCCAATTCTGAACGAGCAAACGAGCAAAACATACACGCGCAGAAACGCCGCGTGGCATATATCTATATTGAACGTTAGGGACAGTTTCCATGTAATAACCATTGAGAATGTAGATACTAGGAAACGTACTCGATGAAATATCATTTAATATTTCCATGATTTACGCGCATTTTTATATTAAACAATATATTTTATATCTAAAGGTAAGCGTAAAAAATGAAGTTTTAGAAGCGTTCAATCTATGGAGAATATATTGTCTATTATATGAACGGTTATCTATTTTAATATTATTAATTTCAATTTCATTAATTTAAATATTCTTAATTAAAACGTTATTGTTAGGAAATGTGTATGCATAATCTTACAAAAGTGTATAGAAAAGCATGATTATTAGCTGTGCAAAATTTAGGTGTGACTGTTCATACTATTATTCAACTTTCCGTGATCGTAGTACAATTTGTTTTCCTCAGTTCACGTGCGTTATAATTTTTGATTGTGTCGTTGTTTCTTATTGTAATTTATGTTTTCTCAATCTAAAATGGAAAGAAATAAAACTACTGCTTGTTTTATAAGCACGCCTGGTTTTTGCTCGGACTGTGGATCAATTCTGCCATTGTTGGGCGATACTGGAGGTGTAACATGTTACGCTTGTAAAAGAATTTGGGGCCCCGAAGGTTATTATTAAATTTGTATTTTTATCGAACTATTTCATGTATTGTCGATATGGTATAAATTCACCCCCTTTTATAACATAAAAAGTAAATAATTTGTTGTATTAAACGAAATGTTTTCAAACAACCATAACCTCAGCTTTTGGAGATTTGGCAATGTCGTATACAATTCATTTCAACACAAAAAATGTTTATGGTTCCACGAAACAAAAGGATAACAAGAAGGAAGAAGCAGAGGGTCCAATTGTTGAAAGAAAATGCCCTCAATGCCAAAATGATAAAATGTCATATGCTACTTTACAATTGAGGTCTGCGGATGAAGGACAAACAGTTTTTTATACATGTACTAAGTGCAAGTATGTTTTTTTCAACAATGGATGTTGGAATTATAAAATACAAAAATTATTTCAGGAGAAGAGGATTATTGACAAATTTTTTGTATTTTTTTTTTAGATTCAAAGAAACAGAGAATTCATAACACGTATTCATTTATTGCATTTCAAGCATTAAATATACTACAACTTAGTCAACTGATCCAGGATGATCTTCAAAACATGAACACTCTGTGTTAATAAAACATAGAGCTTTATTCATGATACAGTTAACAAATATCAGTGAAATGGTAATAGTAATCATAATAATGATAATAATAATTTTGTAATACCGCTGAATCATTGTTATATTTTCCTCCTAATTACATGTGGTTGGATATTATTTTTCTTCAGTAATGTATTTTTAATTGTATATATATTTGATTAAATATTTTGTACAATATGTTGGAATAAAAGTTAACATTTAGTTTAAGAGGTTCCTATTGATCCATCTTCAAAACCGTTACAGTGGTCCTTTCATTATAAAATTCTTGTATTTAAACAGTCCATTAGTATGTCGCTTAGGCTATGGGATAGACTTAAATATAACTATTATGTTTGTAGTTTTCTTTTTAATAGTAAAGAGAAATAGATGTGCTATCGTATATCGAGGAATTTTTAACAACCAGTCCAACAACTTAATTATATACACGATGGAAATCTTAAACTATGATAGTGTTAAAAAGGCTTCTTTATCCTAACATTGATAAAACAAACAAAAAGGAATTTATCATTACGTTTAAATAATATTATTCAGCGATTACATTAGTTCACGCCATCTACCGTTACACGGTTACATATTTCTCACGTAAAATTATAATTTTCATAATGAAAAATGTGTGTAATACTTGCAGCTTGCATCACGTTTTGTTAATAAAAATATGAAAAGCGAAACAACATGTTAACTGTTAATTATAACACATGTTGCTAAGTACCACCACCAAAATTAAAAATTTCTAAATTAAAAAAAAGAATAATATATCGAATATTCGTCAACAATATCGCTGCACACATTTTTTCAGCGTTTTTTCTCTTAGAAAGAAGCATATCCGAGCTGGATATTATATTTTCTCATAAGCACTCCTCACAGAGTATAACCATCGTTTTTCTCTCAAATCTGATTCTCACTTGCCTCCCATGTAACGCTTGAAACGAAAGAGGAACATGTCTCGTAAATTCGTAATTAAACATACGAATTCTCGTCGCTACAATAGTTAATAACATTCGTTCGTTAACAATACAATATATTTCACAGAAAAAAAATTAAACATTCGTCTTATCTTTGAGCTACCGTTGTTTGTTGTACCACACTTGCATCGCGCAACTCGCTTCTACAGGGCGTTTCACAGGATGTGAAACGTTTCGTTACTCTGTCATTCGTTAGATGTATTTATTTATAAGGGGCTAGAAATTTTCTTGTCTCGAGACCATTAGGCCTTCGATGAACTGGTCACTTCGAAAAAATAGATTTAAAAAATTCCTCGGACCAATTCTGTGTCTCTTAACAATCGAGAGGTACACTCGACTCGAATGATCTATAAAATTCCCCATTCTTGGCACGATTATCATTGTACGCATTTCGCAAAAGGAAAACTGTTTCCATCTTGAGTACAGTATAGAAGTTCCCCCACTACTGATAATCATCGAATCGACTGTACGTGTTAGTTTCTCTTTCAAATTATTTACCGTAACGCTTCATATTACATATTGTACATCGAGTATGTACACGTGGTAAGGTATTTACAAGTGGAATGTGAGGCAGGTGACGCAGAGGATTTAGATTGTCTTTCTTCCTAAACGTTGCGATCATGAGGTTTCATAGCACTCGTCCAAGAAGTTCTCCAACGAGTGGTAGAGATGTGCTCGAGACTGAGCGATTCCGTGATCCTCGTCTGTGTAGGTCTGTAAAATAAGAAAATTAAATTTTTTTTTTTGCGGTATTTATTTTTTACGGGGTGTCGGTGATTAAAAAGAACAAAATGGCGGTAGTAATCGCGAGCGAAAGCGTCGGGCGCGCGGTAGTCATTTAAACGAAAAAAAACGCGTTACGAAGAAACTTAAATTGGGGGCAATAGAATTTACACGCGCGGAGTAAACTGCTTTTTTTTTCCACGCTCTTTGTAAATGTTAATCGCGAACGTTAAACACCGCTGCTAGACGCGTAGATAAAAGGGAAGACGAGCGGAAAAAAAGTAGCGGTTTGAAGTACATCGATTTCTAAGGTTGTTTTAACGACGTACCTGTTGCCGAAACAGGATGTCCTTCTGCTCGAGAACCTTGGCAAGCAACAAAGATTGCTGATAGTGCACGTTGTCGTCTAAGGTTCCATGGATCAGGTAGTACATCTTCGTTTTAATGTTATCCACTTTGTTCAGCAGTTGGCCTTGCTCGTAGCCGTGCAGATTGTCCTCCATTCTCGGCAGCCCCATGAACCGTTCCGTGTAGATCGAATCTGTGTGTAATTTCCATCTATTATCGAACTTCTTTCTATCTTTTATTCTTCCAATTTTCAATATTCCAAATCTACACATTTTATTTTGCCATTTTTCATTCATGATTTGGTTTTGCATGGATAGAGGGGTTTTTCGCTCAATACTTTGAGGAACAATAACATACACACCGGGTGGACCACGTAAAACAGGGCACCTAATTATCTTCTCTAGCTATGGTGGCACGAGACAATTTTTATACGTGATTTAAATGGTTTCAAAGGGTGAATAGGATGGAAGGAAAAGTTTGTTATATATGGTAAATTGATAATTTTTTTTGAAAAGGTCACTCTTTCTACTTGTTGTAACAGACATGGATGTGCATTTAAGCGTGCATAATAACATGACTTTAAAATGACCATGGACTTCGAAATTTGAAATCAAATATGAAATTTCCTTTCATTGTTGTTTTATTCCTTTCATCGATAATTTTCTTTTTATTCCGAATACTAACGAAAGTTTCTTCCTCGCAACGTTTCCATTACCTCGGATCTCAATTCCAATCGAGAATTTTTAACACCGAAAAAAGGAGAAAAAAAAAGTAGTGTAATAATGAGAGTTCTAAAAGTCGTCGACCAATTTAATTAAACGTCTCCAGACGAAGATCCCGACGGAAGAAAAGAGTCTTTCCGCGCAACAAACGAAACGGTACGCTTTGCGCATAATCGCGCCTGGTGAATTACAACCGGCACGCCACTTAATTAATCCGCTAGGCTGTCTGAAAATTGCTCGGCGCCTATAACGCGACGACCGTATACACGGCCGCGTATATTAAGCGCCGAGGCGTAACAATAGCCTGCAAGCGTGCTAGTGACGGGGAAAAAAGGTTGGAAAGCCGAAGAAATTACGCGGCGAGAGGAAGTATACGAGGCGGGAACGTGTGAAAAATGATCGAATCATTTCACGTAAAGCCACATGAATGGGTCGGTTTTAATAAAACCTTTGCGCTCGATGATTTATAGGCCGCGCCGTCATTTTCTTTCCAGCTTCGCGTTTCCAGAGGAACCGCTCGTCGTTTCCGGTTCAAACTGTTTCTCCATTCGATTTCGCCGTGGAATTTAATTTTGAAAATTATTCCCTTTGTAATTTTTCCGGTGAAAGAATTTGCGTAGAAAAATTGAATTTCCGCGTGAATAAGTTGCGAATACCTTTTGTCAGGCTAAACGCGCTCTGCCGAGGTAATGCGGCTTAAATATTGTCCAGTTAATAACCTTTAATTATCTGGGACGCGTTAATTAACACGATTCGACCAATTACATTATCATTCTCACCTCTCAATATTTACCGCGCCGATACTATTAATAAGATCATTTCAAACAGTCAGCAATAGCGAATTATTGAAATTAGTTTGTCGTAATTGCTCTTGAATTTTCATCTAAAATTTGAATAACAGAAATTGATATAACGAATTCGACGAAAAAAAGGCACGGTTTGTAACTGAAGAACGGAATAACTCTACGATGTTCACTTGGAAATAAATCAAAAATGACAATTCTGTGAATAACACCGTCTAAGGAAAACTAAAAAAAATTGTACGAGAAAGAAACAAGAATGACATAATCTATAATCGATATCTCTGGAGAGACATCTCCATCTCGGAAGTAGGGGGAACAGGAAGGAAAGAAGGGGTTAGAATCGTCGCGTTGAAAATGTGCATCGAGGAGGAAGAGGATCCCGAATACTCGTCCCGAACGATGACTTCTCGAGTCCTGGAAATAAATCTGATATCTCGAAACGCGAGCGCTAGTTGGCTGCGACAGGACCCCCTTTCAATAATTGAATCGATCGAGGTTGAAACGAACCGTCGACAAGTCGAACTTCTCGTTTTTCCCTTCTGCTTAGTTGCCTTCCTTCGTAACGGTACTTACACTCTAGCGTGCAAATCATCGTTAGATATTGCATTTCGCTCGATTTGTTCGCCTCTATTGTCCTTCGGCACGATTTTCCATGAATTTTTACCACTTCTTTTAATGTTCATATATATAGTTTAATTATATCAGTGATTTAACGCGTAGTGCTAATTTTCATTTGTATTATCTGAACGATAGATTGAAATTATTTCGATGCCAAGTTGATTTATAGGGTTAAACTCAACTGGGAATTATATTTGAGAAGGTTTAAACACGGTCCATTCGCTGATTGGATATGAACACTCGACTAACACGGCACACTCCACAGGGTGGAACAGAAGGTTTAGTGGGTTTACAGTTCAAATAGGAACTGATTCTAGCTCGATACCAGAGTTTGCTGGTGTGGGAGGCTTAACGACCAGGAGTGTCGCTAATGCAACCTAATATTTATTTGCTTACTTATTTGTTTGGAAAATGAATGGTTATAATCGTCTGAAAATATAAAAGAAACTTAGCAAAATAGAATTGATATTAAGAATAATTTAGTACACGATCTTCTAGAACTTGAGTAGAACTTGATTATTATAGAAACAAAAACGGAAATGCAAAATTTCCGTGAATTAATTCTAATCTAGCAGATTTCGTTTACTATTAGGGTGACAGAAAAGGTATAATCATCTCGAAGGCCCCTTTGAAGCATATTATGTAAAAAAAAAAAAAAAGAAAATTTCGATCGATTCGCTACCGATAAAAAATAATTACGTTATATAGTTCATCCTATATAAACTGATTGAAGAAGATAAGTACTGAGTTATGAAAAAAAAGAAAAAATAAATGTAAGGTCGATAAAGTGAATGAAGTAGGATAAGAGAAGGGGATATCCAATATTTAATGAAGAAAAGTAGCATACGATAAAGATGAAGTATACGCGACGTTAAACGGATGAAAATATTATCTCCCGCAGACGTACCGTAAAGAGCCCAATCTGTTACAGGTGCCACCGACATGCCACACTTGAAGACACCGTGATAATCCATGGCGAGCGTCATGCCCGTCGCGTATCCACCATAACTCCAACCCCATATCGCTGTCCTGCCGCGGTCGATGAACGGAAGCGTGTCTTGTAAGTACCTGCAATCGACGGGAAAATCGTTCGTTAAGGAAATGATCATTTCAGTGCTTGAAATTATTCCACTATTAAAATACAATGCGTGTGATTTGTCTGAGAACAGTTGAATATCTCGAAAAATATGGATGACACGGAAATATATACCTGAGACAAGAATTGTAGAGTGCCAAGGGGCACATATGATGCCTACATTTGTTTGACCTTGCGGTGACCTTGAAAAGCCCTACGAAGGTTACGATTAAATTTTCAAACGGGAACCTATATTTTTTATTACATATTCTTGCAGCTGACGTTAAACGTTTTCAAAACTGCGGTCCACGCCGCAGCTAATTTCCAAAAGCTCGTGTAGAATTTCGGTGACTGCGTAAACACAAATTGACCGTGCAATGACACGAGACAGTTTGTCCTAATGCTTCCGTAACATTGGATTGGACGTAGTGGTCCAGTAACGTGGCTCCAAGATCGCCAGATTTATCCGCGTACGATTTTTTTCTCTGGAAATATTTGAAACAAATAGCGTTCAGTACACAACACAACAGATGAACTGCAAAGAAGGATCACAAACACATGTGAAATAATTACACCAGAAATGCTGGAAAATGTAGAGCGAAAAGTTTTAAGAAGGATGGAAAGCTGTACATTGAAGGAAAAGTGAGAATTTAGTAGCAGTGTTTTCACACACACTACCCCGACACGCACGGTTCTTTTTACAAAGTCCGACCTAGCAGCCTTCCCGCGGTGTACATCAGGTAACACTAATGCCGGGCGGCACGTCAGATTTGAAATTTCATATCTCGACATTGACCAGTGCAAAATGCGGGTGTAAGTGGTGTTTTGAAAACATTTTAACGTGAGCTACAAGAATCTGTAATTTAAAGTATAGGTTCCATTTAAAAATTTAACCGTAACCTTCGTAAAGTAAAATAAATATAGACACCACACGTGTCCGCTGGTACCCTACAATTTTTGTCTCAAATATTTGCCCGTGTCATCCACATTTTTCGAGATACTCAAGTATTACTCAGACAAATCACACTGGATATAACAATCTTTCGGATAATTAGATTACAATTATATTCTTATTCTTGACAAGGAAGGATAAGTAGAACAAGATAAATCATCGAAAGTTCCTGTACTTTGAGCTCTGATCTTTAGCAATCTTTCATACTTCGAGACACTTCCGCCATTATTCCTCGATCTGTCCATCTATTTATACGTTCTATATCTACCCATAGCTAAGCGCAGATGGTAATAAATTAGTCTGCACTGTAAAACAAGAGAAATCATCGAAAGTCGCTATACTTGGTGCTCGGATCCCAAGAAATTCTCTATTCTTGAGGACGTTACACTTCCGCCATTATTCCCCGACTTTTGTATCTATCTATCCGTTCTAAGTCTACCCATAAATTTTCATCAAAGTTCCCTCGATAAATCCCCCAATATAATCTCTTCGTCATCATCCTCTTTATGGTTTAAACCTCCTTTAAATTCTTCAGGGGAAGATTTACCCACGAAGAATAGATGAATAATCGAGCACGTCTTCTACAAGCACTAGAAATGAAAACAGACACCCGAGATAGGGTGTATCTATTTTTCAATGAGCAACAGAGATGAGTATCGTGGTCCTTTCCCTTTTCACTTCCGCGAGATTCATCTTCATCCAGCATCTAACATCAACGACTCAGACTCGAATGCATTATGCATTCGACGGACAAGCACTTAGGTCGGTGAACGACATTTATTTCACCGGGGCGATCCTTTAAGAACGATTTTTATGAGCTCCTCTACCGGTAACCGAGGATCGTTCTCAAATTTAAGATCTCACTTTGTGTGTTAGTCGACGGTAAGCTGATCCTAGCGTTTACGGCACGTAGCTTAATGGCCATTTAGACGTTTTTTCTTCTCTCGATAGAGGAGACCATCTAGGGCACCAACGTACGAACGAGGTTTCGGAGGAAATAAGTCTGTTACGAGAGGATGCTTTATGCGAGTAAGTCTATTATGAGAACCAATCCTTTGTTGGCTTTTTGAATGTTTTAACATTGTGTTGAACGGAAATGACGCGAGGAACTCGTGATTTCCTGGAGCCTTTGTTAGTTCTGAATTACGTATAGAGCATTGGTAACTCAGAATAACTAACAGAAGTGAATTTTCCAGTAGGTGAATTAAAATACCTTTGAACACAGTGTTCTAACAAAGATCGAAGTGCCAGAAACTCGGTTAAATATTAACTGGGCAAGACAAGTTAATTCGTCCATTCGTTGGCCAATAGTCTGTAGGAATTCTGGATCTAAATATGTTACTGAAATCAAAAGAAGAAAATGTTGAAAATAAAGTTCCATCGAAATCTGTTCAATTTGCAAGATGGTACCTGCTCTGAGGATAGTGTCAGAAACATACGATGTTTTATCGTGGAAACACCGAACCTAAAAAGCTACCAAAATCCAAATGAAAATCTGTCGAAGAATCCTTTTGCTCCCACTCAAAGTTCTATCAAAAGCTGCTCTATTCACTCCTTAATTCAAGGTACCATTCCAAGTGTCACGGAACAGAGATCCTAAAATCCTCGCCTAGATCTTGTACAGAGCAGACAGTACAATCCCAGCTGCGTTAGTTTCCAACTAGGATGCCTCGCCGCCAATCAACAACGCGGTCTATCCTCCAAAGTAGGCCTGACACCGTCACACGACCCCTGGGTGCAAAAAGCAGGTGGGCACGTCGCCGGAAATCAGAGGGACAGCACGCGTCCACCTCCCAAAGGACTATGACCCGCGCACGTGGCAGGATCTTAAGTTCTGCCGCGCCCTGTACCCTCTTCTCACCGCACTGCGTCACTCTGGCCACGATTGGATCTGGGTTAGCTGGTGAAATCAAAGTTCTCGCATCTCTCGCGACTATGTACGGCCAGAATCGAAAATCGGCCTTTCCTCGAGATGGATCTGTCCATTCGGTTATTTGCTCCTTGGAAACTGTCCAACCTCTCTATTATTCACAAATCCCGCTATAAATACTACAAAATTCCACCATCGACGTGGAACAATTTTATCGAGGGAGTAGCTAGGTGTTTTGCAATTTTATTTCCATCAACCTTTTCACTTGTCATTCTCTTCGCTGACTATTCAGTGTTTTAGTACTGTACTAGCTCGGTGTTCAAATGTCCCAAGTGTGCAAAATCGAGATTCCACAAGATTTAAAATTCGAACCAGTATTTTTTTAAATTTCTGCTGTTAAACTCTCAAAAGAATTAGTTAAACATCCTCGAGGATTAAAATGAAAAAAAAAAAAATAGTGGAAGAGAAAAAATGGTAGCAATCTATTGTTCTCTGCGATTCCATTACATTGGTGCGCTATTTTACACGCCACTGTGGCCGGCAGTTCGATTAAATCGAGATTCATGCAACAGGATCGAACGAAGAAAAAAGGAAATTAAAGATTTCCGTCGTTTAAAAGAGAATTTTTCGTGGTGGATCAATTCAGACCGAGTTTCCCTTCTCCGATTGGTTGTTTCGTTGAAACGCGGGATTACAATGCCGGCGGCGGTTGGATAGGGGTGAAAAATTTCAGCGGGATGCTCGAGGAGAGATGGAGAGGACGTGTTCGTCGGAAAAAACGACGGCTCGATTATTTTCGAGAGACTTGAATTTCAATTTATCGTATTCCTACCTCCCTTTGTCTCTCTCTTTGCTCAGTGGGTTTGTGTATCGGTTCGCGTGAAACAAACCTTAATTAAAAAAAAGAAAGGAAAAGAATACACGTGGAAACAAACTAACAGGAAGGACAGTGGACTGCAGGAACCAAAAAACAGCGGGACGAGAACAAAGTTAACCCTTGTCGCTTGATGTTTGCCCTCGATGCTAGCACTTGCCGCGATTGCACTTCTCACTCTGTCTAGTTTAACCCTTTCGAGAGGAACTGCTGTTTCGATGAACCATCGAAACCACCGACAGAAACGAAATAAAAAAAAGCGGGGTGACAAATAGTGGAGGAGAATTGTTTTAAACGCAGGTTCGAAAGTCAAACGTTACATATTGCCAAACAAAAAAATTTGAACAGACCTTTTGGAAGTGCTACTTGTAGTTAACCTTCGTTTCCTTTACTTCTGTTTTTAGTATGGATATTAAAAGAACATTCTTGAAATCAATTATAAAATATCATGAAAAATTAAGTATTTTTCTTTTGCATTTTGGTATATTTAGATATAGAAGGAACTTGGAAATTTAGAATGATTAATGGAAAATAAATTGGCGTGTATAATTATTTCCTTCATTCAACAAAAAGTCACTATACACTTGGCTAAGAGCATCTTAATAATTTCTGTAATTTAAAGTAAGAAATTTGAAATCTGTCATTTTGACTGGTTTGGACAAGTGTTAATCTTTATTTCATTTACTCTTTTTAATAATAAAATTCTTTACCCCAGTGGAAAGCATTGAATTGTTAAGACTAAAATGTCTTTCTGAGAATTATTCTTTCTCTCAGAAACTTCTAATAATATCTTTCTTTAAACTTTTAACTAGCGGTGTAAGCTTCTTAATTCAAAGAAAAAAAAGAAGTGGAAGGAGTCTTTAAACAGTTTGAAAACTTCATCAGTTTTTTCTTTTTTTTAGAATGTTCGAGGTAGGAATTTTCATTCTACATAGTTAAGGGTAATCGATTCTCGATTCGTCCTCCAACCTATTTCCTGTACGAGTGAAGTCAGCTGCTCTAACGTGAGGATCCCGTGGATCCTAATTAAGGAAAAACCATTCCGCGAACCGATCCTAGGAACTCACCGCGATCGTCCTCGTTCATTCGTCGTCGTAGGTCTCGATACGTCAATCGAGAACAAGGGCGGAAACTCTCGAAACTTTGATTAAACTTCGAAGTTACTTTGCCGCTGTAAACTAACGATTCCACTCAGTCATGCTGGTTGGATGCGTTGAAAAATGACGATACACGGTTATTCAAGTCTAATTCCAACCATATAATTCAAAAATTTCGTTCTTAACGTGTAGTCAATTTT